CTTCTTCTTTTGAAATTTCAGATTAATTTTAATATTTTACACAGAGCCTAAATCACAAAAAAGCCAGTTTAGAAATGGTGGCATGCAGAAACAACACTACCCAGAAACCAGGTGCTTCATGTGAGAAAAAGCTAGGGAAGAGGGGCCTACCACACATGATAGAGAGAGGACCCTCAGAGCCATGGTATAGCCATGGGAGGTGCCAAAAATCCCTCACCCCAAAGTGGAGGCATTGTAAATTGTTTAATTGGACTTGACTAATTTGATCTTATGTTCAGAGTAATAGCAATTTTGTTTGGACATGATTCCAATTGAGATGCCTTTCCAAATATGTCCAGAAAAAAGTTTGAAGACCAGCTCTCCCAGAATTGCTGGTTATCCACCAAAGAAGAAGCAAAATTAAGAGACAGCTTACATGTTACACTGGGAAAGCCACAGTTCTGTCTTTTCCAGGGAGATTTTGGTCATATTTCTCTAGACAATAAAAGTATAGGCCCACAGAGACAGAACTTAAAGATGTCTTTCCTTAAAACTTGCAACTCTTTAGGCTATTACCTTCACCACATCATCTTTTGCCTCATCCATCTGGATAAGTGCCTCTGCATTCTTAGATTCAGAAGTAGTGTGCAGTTGGGTCATGGAAAGGCTGTGGAAAAAGGAAATTTTAGCATACTAGTGAGGTTTCTTGTAGATGCAGAAGAGAGACTTCAGCTCCAACAGTTTTACTCAATCCAGAGGACTGTGTTCTGTATGGTACATTGAGGATATTTTCTCACAAAAATGTTTGCTTCTTTAATTTATATCCTCCTAAAATGAGTCATTTTTAATAGGTAGTAATGATTAATTTTTGTTGTACATTTGTTCTAAGTTTAATGAGTTCTAGTGATACAACTTACATATGGAATGTCATCTTGAGATTTTAAAAATTACTTATTTGTATACATATTATAAAAGAAGATATGAGTTTAACTTTGTATTTTATAAACTTTTATTTTATTTTATTTTCATGAGGTGCTGAGGATCAAACCCAGGACCTCACACATGCTAGGCACGTTCTCCACTACTGAGTCATATCTCCATCTGTAATTTAGCATATTTTATTTATAAACTTGCTTCTGTAATATTAAAAAATAAAATAGAACTACTATTGATGTGAATTCTATAATTTGAGTAATTATATGTTTTTAAATTTGTAGAATGAAATGATATTCTTTGTTCAAAACTTCATTTCATAGAGGGCAATATCACAATGCCATAAACTACTTATATTTATCATAAAGTCTTTGGATCCAATTTAAAACAAAAGATAAAAAATTTCCTGATCCTGTACTCTTTCACCTAGGAAATGACAAATGAGAGGATCATGATAAAAGGGTTTGGAAGCACACTGAATATTTTGATCAAATGAACATACTAGTAATTTCCCATTCCTTGATTAAAAATACACAGGAATATAATTTCCAAGTTTAGAGGAGGAATATTTGTGTTCATTCGTTCTTTATGTATTAGTTTCAT